TAGCTCTACGTCTGGAAATCAAACCTGGTGTGAGAAAAGTTGCATAGAATGATGCTGTGATCATGCAAAGCCCCAGGGTGATTTTTTTGGGGGGGGAACAAAATCTATTCCCAATTCTTCAGGAGAAAAAAGCTCTTCTGAAATGTGAATGGAGACACCTGCTGAGCCGCCCGTGCATTTTCACCTCCACCCCTCTGGCCAAAAAGTGGTCAGAGAAGCCCCGGGGCTGAGCAGCCCTTCTCTCTCACAGTATGCAGGTCTGGGTGGGTCACAGCTGGTCCCGCAGCACCCCTGCTTCCCTGGTAACACTGCAGAAAGCTCTCCCCAGACCCTGCATGAGCCCTGCACACTGCTTGCACAGAAAAAGAAAGCAATCTTCTCTGAAGTTTTCCAAATCTCTTTTACACTAGAATTTAAAGTTCCACTGAAGCTTCAGACAGGAGTGAAATCCTGAAAGGGAAAAAAACACTTTCTGCATTAACTCTGGACTTAACTCCGAAAACTGCCACCTGCTTCACCAGCACAACAGAAATATCACACTTTTGGCAGTCTGTGGCTCACTGAATAAACACCTACAGCACTTCAGACATTAGTTCAGTTAGTACAGAGACACGTACACACATACACATACACACACATGAAGCTGCAAAGACGATGGACAAATATTGCTTGAAAGGAGGAGCAGGAAAAGTGCAAGCTTTGCAAGCTGCAGGCCCCAGAACTACTGGAGAATTAACTGGAAACATCTATCCAGGGATGCAGAACCCTGTAACATTATGATTCATTTAACAGTCCAAAAATGGCCATATGCAATGAATCATACAGGAGATGACAAAGCTGCAGGAGATTTCTGTCATCTAGTTTAATCTGCACATTGATCAGAGTTTACCCCCATATTAATCACTTGAGATCATAATCTAACACACTCTTAAACACCTCTCCTGATTATGCTTCACTTACCCCCTTGTCCTTATACAGGTCACTCCATTGCTAATTGCATTTCTAGTTAGGAGAAAAAGTGTCTACTGTCTAATTTAATTTTGTCTTTTAGTTTCAAGCCGTTGCTCCTTGTTATGCTGTCTCAAGCACTGTAAATAATCCCTCCCCCTCCTCCATATTATTACCTCTCAAATATTTATAGACTGTTATATCCACCCTTAGTCTCCTTTTCTACAAGCCATATATCATTTTTGTCACCCTTCCCTCTATCCTTTCAGATTTATCTATGTCCTTTTATAATGAGATGCTCTAAACTCCTTTGCAGCATTCCCAAGTACGGCAAAACCAAAGCAGCGGAGAAAGGCAAAAACACCCCCCTTGCTTCTCAAGCATTGCCTTTTTAAACACCTCTGAGCAAAATTCAAGTGATTTCAGTAGGAACTGAAAATTACAAAGCCATGGCCACTACACTGCAGTGTGCTTTGTTCATCACATAGCTATTACAGTTCAGAAATTAAAAAAGCCTGTTAGGAGACAGTTTTATTCTAAACCAAAGAAGAATAGCTCAAAGTGAAGCACTCTCTGAATATTTACTTCGTCCAGCTGGAAGAGATTTTAACAACTGAGAAAACTGCCATACAGGCAGAAGACCATCTCCAGCAATGACTTCCCAATACAAAGTCTAACTTGTGCTGTGGAAATAGTGACAATGCAAGGGAAGTGAGGTTGCTCACAAACTCTTACAAGAAGCATATGCAAATGTGATTCTTCTTCTGTCATTTTAACTGCAACCAACTGAAGAAAAACATCATGGATGGAAAGGTATTAGTTATTCACAGGTGAAGAATGCAAAACTTGTTCCTTTGCCAGCTCTATAATCCAGTAAAGAAACCATGTTCGACTATGCTCTTTGAGCAGAGATTTCTTGGCTGTGGGTGGAAGCTCAGGAAAAGTACCACGAAGCAATGGATGGGGCTGCTTGGCTCTTAGTATTGGAGGAGAGTTGGCAGGACCAGGTGGCAGCCAGCAACTTAAATCTGGTGAAGAAGTAGCAGTGGGTACAGCAAAAGAAAATCATCATTAGAAAGTAACAAGGAGATAAAGGCAAAATGAATAAGCAGGATAATGGACTAGTACCCACTGCAGACCCACCAAGAACTCTGAGGACATGCAGCCTTCATGTTCGTCCTGGTAAAGCAATTATTGCTTACTTCTCCTTACTTGTGCTCAGGCCTTCTGAGGCTGCTGCCACCTGAACTAGCAATACTCTCTACCACCTGTCAACCCTCATAATGCTAATTTTCTGTTGAAATCTACTGCAGATGTAGTCATAAAGTGCTTTTAGCCAAAAGAGTCAGGATTCCTTTCCCAGGGTTGCAAATACTGAGCAGCATTGAGGCTGGCTGAACTTCAAATTTCAATCTGCTCACTTAATATCAATACAAAAAATGTAGGAATTTCACAAATTCTCAGGAAAGTTTAGTTTGGAAAAGACCTCTGCAAGCTAGCTGGCCCAAACTCCTCACAGCAGGGCTGGGTCATGTTGCTTGTGGACCATCTGGCAGAGTTTTGAGTCTCCCCAACCTCTCTGGGCAAACCATTCCAATGCTTAAGCACTCTCACAACAAAACGTCCATGGCAGCTTCCTCATGCTGTCCATCAGCTGACTGAGACTTTTCTGACAAAACTGAAATTCTCACAGCATGTAACAGTATACTGTAAAGATTTAAAAGGGCTTCCTTTCAAAAAGAAAATTTCTCCCCCTTTAAAAGAACAGGTCATGGTTTATTCCACTTATAGCAACTTTTTTTTGTACCTCCTTAGCTATGCAACATAACATCTACAAGGTCATGGCATCCATTTCTGAAATCACAATACGGTGTCAAAGAAAATGTCAATGCAAAAGGTAACACCAAAAAAGCAAAGAAGAGTAAAGAAGGCAAGGTATAGTTTTCAGAGACATCCAGGGCACTGCAAGTTCAAAGGGATCTCAGTACCATCATTCATTAGGCATAGTTATTACTGTTGACCCCCATACAGTCTGTATTTATCAGCAGATAAAACTCCATCTGCTCCTCAAGGAGTTTCAAAGTGAAAGCAGCACCCACTTAAAGAAATGTAAAAAGAACACTATTTTGTTTCCATCACACGTAATAAATGTAGCAAAGGGAAATAAGAAGTGCAAGCTTATTACTCACAACTGCTGACAATGATATGTTTACTTTGTCAACCAGTGATACTACACAGGCACTTGAATAACACCATTACTAATGGTCATTTCAAAGCCAATGGGAAATTGATCACTGCAGAGCATAGGATCAGCAGCTGGCATTTAGCATCATACAGTAATCCTGCCTATATGGGATGCTTCTAAATTAGGCCAACATGAATGCAGTGCAGCAAAGACACTGTGGAGCGGGTCCAGAAAAGGGCAGTTAAGCTGGTGAAGGGTCTGGAGAATAAGTCTTATGAGGAACAGCGAAGAACCCAGGTTTTATAAACCGCCTATGTCTGAAAGGCATGTTTTAAATGCCTCACCATAGTCTTTTTCTGATTTTTACCCACTAGTTAACCTAACAAGATGTACTTACCCTACAGAAGAAAAAGCAGTTACTTTAGATGCCCTGGGATCACGATTTTTTGTTGCTCTGTAGGATTAAATGGCCCACAGTAACCCACAAACTTTTACAAGGGTAAATATGCAGAAACTGCAAAATCTGATTGGAAGTTTTTCTGGTAATGCCCTGTGATCATGATCTGCTCCCTTCCAAATAGCTTGCAAACTCCCAATTTGCTTTTGAGCTTGGAAGAAAATGCTCCATCCAAAGTACAGATAGTTTCCAAGTCTCACATAGTAAATGCACAAACCCCTACACTGTGACAATGATAATTCATTTTTCCCCTTTTCAAAAACAGCATGTCATGAAGGGATCTGAAAAATTGTCTCTGGCCTCTCCAGGTGTCACAGTATTTCTGATCTGCCAATAAAAAGGATACAGAGAGGAAAGACTCTCTCTGGCACTATGTCTGATTTGTGTGACTCCTTCACACATTACTCCTCTGCTGGCAAACAATGCTCTGCATGATGGGAGTCCAAAAGAAAAACTGCTCTTGTGAAGCTAAAAGCTTACAGGAGGAACAGAATTACCACTGTCAAAACCATCTCTTGCCCAGTTTAATGCATGTTGTACAGGAGACACTGCATTCCCAGGAGCCACCAGTTTCCCTGGGGCTTGCAGGGAGCTGCTGACCTTCCTACCACAAACGGTTTTGCTCTCTGCCTGCCTTAATTCCTGTAAACTCTTGCAAAATCAGCACCTCTGCCTAACAAACTGAGACACTGTGACATCTGCTCTCACATGGTCTCTTGCTTTGCTTGCTGTTGAGGGTACCAGTAAAATGATAAAACAATGATACAGGAATCCTTTGAGTACCTCGTCTTGAAACAACCTGACACCTAAACCAAGAACTTCATGTCACATCACATGTGGCATTTTCATATCTAACAAAGATCTTTATATGATAAATAAACCAAAAGCATCAGAATATTTAAGTAGTATTCCTCACTGAAGAATCAGACTTTCTAGCATTTTCTGTAGTTCATCACACCTGGCCAGAACTCACAGAAGTACCACATAAAGTCATGTAAGGTAGGTAGATCTCTGCTGCTGGGGCCAATCCTATTACCTACATACTTGGCTCCTAGATAGTGCTGAAAACTCCAGTTTTCAAGAGGATACACAACCAGACAACTGCGGAAGGAGCACGTTTTGGGAGAAAGGAGAAAAGCTGCTCATAAATGTCCACCTGCAAGTACACACCTTATTAAAGTCAGTTACAGTGCCAGTCTGTACCAAACTAATTTTGAAGTAAAAATAATCAGTTAAGATATGAAAGACTTATCCTGGATTCTATCCTTTGGCTAACCATACCAACATTGCAACACCACTCTTGGAGAGGGACTCTCCATAACCCCAATGCTGCAGAGAGGGAAAAAAGGCAGGCGTAAGCAGCATCAACCCTTGCCCACAGCAGTGACCATCGCTCTCCCAGCACTTTACCTGATGGTGTGCTAGCTGCTGTCATGGATGTACTTGTAGAGTGTGCAGGGTTGCTGCTTTCCAACAAGAGACAAGAGCTGCCACCACTGTTCTTCTTCACGAACGTCTCGGGAGCACTGGGCAGGGGCACTGGGTGACTGATGCCCAGTTCCTCTTCCTGAGCTTGCTGCCTTCTCAGCGCAACCTGAGAACAAGAAGATAAGACATAGTGCATGTTCTGGGGCTTGAGCACAATTTATAATGGCAACAACAGATGACTCAAATTCAAGGCTGTTTTTAAGTTTTGGTACTCTGTATGGTGTTGATGTTACTGCCAGTGGGTAGACAAAGATATAAAGGAGGTTATAAGGCTATTCAAAACTACCTGTTTTGGCTCCCAAACACACAAGAACAAACCTATGAAATCTTAGTGCCATATACATCTTCCTTCAGTGACACCACCTGAAGATGTATTAAAGCTGACTGCACTCACGCAATGCAGTTGCTCTTGGGCAAAGCATACTGTGAAAAATGCAAAATTCACCAGTTTTCAGGACTCCACTGTGCGTCTTCACCAATGTAAAGCAGCTCTTCGTGAGAGCTTACACCTGCAATCTACTGCTCTGTACAAGCCTGCTTGTCTTCCTCATTGGCTCTTTGCTAGAAATCTACCCTTTCAAGTAAATTTCAGTGCATAGTACACTGTGGACAGACAGCCACTATGGAAGAAGCACAGCAAACATGGGGAACCAGTCTGCAAGCATCTCAGCCAGCGTCACACATACTGCAGTTAATTGGCTTGCTTACTGAATATGCAGAGGACCCCTTCTGCCTCATTTGAACTGGCAGATCAGTTTCGCACACCTGCCGAGTTGTGATACATGTCCAGGGGGGTATACAGATTATGATGGGGGCCTTACAGATACCTAACCTGCAACTTGCCAGGTGACTGATTTGCATGTGTATCTGAACCTTTGAAATCTGTCCCAGATTACAGACTGGGATTATGTGCTTTTCTTGCTCGAAATTCTCCTGGGTAACTTGGAGAGGCCTTTCCTGCATTTCTGTGTTCAACAGCAACATTCTTCTAATACAGATGTGCAATAAATACCATTAGAAAAATTAATAATAGCTCTTGCAATAGAGATATCCCAAACAGGAGGTGTAGACTTGCAAATACCATGGGTAACTTTGACTTCACAAGCCAACAACCTTGACCTGTAAAATTCCACCAGTGCCAAGGGGTTTACTGCAGAAATATATCAGAAGGGGGAAGACAGACTTTCAATGTGTAACTCCTACAAAGATAAGGTTTTGCTAGGGAGGTTTTCAAAGCTACTTTCAAATACAAGGCAGGGAAGAGAAAACCCCCAGTAGGTCCACCTCCAGAACCCACTAGCAGGAGGCAGTCACCACCTGATAGACGCTGCTAGGCAGCAGCAGAACAGTCTGTGCAGAAGAGGACACTTGTGTGGGGAACACCCCATTTTGTGCTCCCTCCCCTAGTGCAGGCAGCAAAAGGATCCATGTTTGTTATTCCTTGGTTTGCAGCAGGCAGAGAAGCTGCATGTAACTTGGGATATAACAGCAATTTCTGGGCTGTCATGAAACGGTCAAGGAGGAATTATTTAAATGAATGAAAGCTCCCAGTGGGTTCAGAGGACATTTAGCATACCTGCACTGAATAATTAAATAAAAAAGTACGGGAGAATTTAATGCAACGTTTCTAAAGGCTTTAAAGTCTGTCAGTGAGACACTGATTTTATGTGGGATGTCAAGCTTTGAGCACACATTAACTGCAAACTGATGGTGGATCTAATACTCCTTCACTCGCACAGTCCTAACGTCTTGCACTTCGCCTGCAAGGGGACTATTCGCACGAACGAGAACGCCCAACTCCCCTCCCAGAAGTCAAGCACACCGGTAGCCATTACACTCCCAGAACTCCTCTTAATGAGAGTTTCCAGATACGGATCTTAAGGACTAACGCAGCCGTCTTCTACCCTGCCCCGAAGAGTTGTGGCTTCAGCCGGACTACCTAACAAAAAAGTTATTCCTACACAGAACTGGATGCAGCTTGGTTTCTTAGCGAATGCTATTACGTCGACAGTTGTGAGACCCCGCTACACAGCTGTTTACATAGCCGCTCTATGCAAAACAAGAACAACGCCGTTTAAAAACAAATAAAACCCACCCAATCCAACCCAAAACAAAACAAAAAACCAACCAACAAACAAGTAATTTTATAGATGTATTCAACTAACGTATCAGGAAAAGCGGGTACATTGCATCTAAAACCACCACTGGAAAACACTCTGGCTAACCAATTATTTGGCTAGATTGTTCATTATCTACTTAAAACCAAGTTGGAAGCCGGCAATTTAACGTTAGCACCGAGTTTTGCACGACAGGACCGCGGACAAGCGGTGAGGCGCGCTCCGAGGTGAGCCTCACACGCCCGCCGCGGCCGCTACTACCTCACCATGACTTAACCCTACCCGCCCTCACCGCACCTCCTGTTTTTATTTAAAAACCAATAAATACATAAACATTTTACTCCAGTAACTGAGGAATGCGGCGGGGTACCTCCGGCCCTGCCGCGCCGCCCCGTCGCCTGTCCCGTGCGGGCGCCAGACCCCGCCGGCCGCGGAGGAGCCGACCCCGCCGCCGGCACCCTCCGGGCGTACAGCCCACCCCGGCCCAGGCAGACCTCGCCGAGGCGGCCGCCCCGCGGGGCTCACCTGCGCTGCCATCACCCGCTGCCGCTCGGCGATCAGGCTGCACTTCTTGCACTGGCAGTCCCGCCACATGCAGAACCGCTTGTGCCCCTTCAGCGGCGAGGAGTAGCCGTGGTTGCGGCAGCGGGCACACTTGGGCATACGCGGCGGCTTCTTCCCCACCGCGGCGGCGACCCTATCCACTGGGGAGGGCGCCATGAGGGCCGCCGCCTTCCCGAAGCCGCCCGCCTTGTCCCCCGGCCCCGCGGCGTCCGAGGGCTTGCTGAAGGACGGGGAGTCACTGGACATCGCGGCGGGCTCAGGGCAGCCGGGCTCGGCGCGCCTCTGCCCTGACTCGTTCCTTCCCGCCACCCCGCGCGTTTCGGCGGCCGGCAGCTGCCCGGCGTCTCCCCTCCCGCCGCGCCCCCCACCCCGCGGCTGGTCGGTGCGGCCGCGAAGCCCTCTCTCCCCCGCGGGGCAGGCGCTGGGGTGGGGGAGCGGCCACCCGCGTCTCCCCGCTCCTCCCTCCGGCCAGACCAGCCTGGGCGGCCCCACGGCGGGAACGAGCAGCTCCTGCTGTGGTCGGGCGGCGGGTCCGTCGGGTGCACGGCGGGACTGTGGAGGTGCCCCCGGGGCCCAGCTCAGCTGCGCTGCCCGCATGTCCCGCACGAGGAATCGTCACCGATATGAAGCGGCTCCGCCGCCGCCCTGCGGCCCCACAGCCCTCCTCCCGCCTTGTTGGGGCAGGGGCAGGGGCAGGCCCGGGCCCCGGCCCCGTCTATGGCGGTGGCAGAGGAAGCCGGCGGCGGTAGCGGCCATGTTTAAGCCCTGTGTTGGCCTGTGTTGGGTGGGCTGTGTTCACATGGCGTGGCCCGGGGAGAGGTGTGAGCCCCAAGCGAAACAACCGAGTTGCCGCAGCTCAGCTGCTGTCCTTCGTGGGACATCTGGCTCCTCGCTGGAGGAGGTTAGCATGCGGTCGTGCCCCTCACCGGGTTTAACGCTGCGGTGGGTATCTGGGTGAGCAGGTGATCCCAACAAATACAGGCAGTGACACTGCGTGGACAGCTCGGTAACCAGCTCCTCTGGAGCGGGCCTGGGCGGTTGGATCAGCCATGATCTGCAGAGGAAGACGGGGAGATGCTTTTTCTTTTCTTTCTTACATAGGCTCCCTTTCAAACTTAGCACTGTGATTTACAGACCCATGCAGCTCTACAGATATTATTTACAGTATTAATGTTTTCTCTGTTACACCTTTAAATCTTTCCAGGCTCAAGATGACGCTATCTTCATGCTGAAATGAAACTATTAAATTACATTGCAATCTAAGATGAATGATAACTGTCAAGTGAGTGACTCAACAGAGATGAAGCAGAAAGCGCCTGAGATTATGTGAGGCTGATTTATAAAGATTGCATAAAGATTTCTATAAGCCCAGCTTCATGACTCAGCATATCAGATGGTAATAAGTTACAGTAGGTAGAAATTTATTTCTGCTAGAAAAAGCCAAGGAAAGCTTCTCCCTCCTTGAGATCAGCTATCTCCCAGCTGATTCTGCTCAGACTGAGCCTCCCGGCCAGAAATAATCAGTGCCTGTCGAAAGTTCCAGATCCTTGCTGCCTGATGCTTTGTGTTGGCATTCAGTAAGTTACATTTAAATAACTTTTTCCTTCGTTACAGCATTGGAGACATTTATGGCACTTTTCATCCTCCCAAGAGACTGAATTAAAATTCTGTTAAGCCCCAGTCTCAAGCTGTCAGGTGGTCCTCAAGTGAGGTTTGGCACGGTGTTACAACAATCATTCAACTCACAGAAATGGAAACTTTTTGCTTTGCATTGCTTTGCTGGGATTGACATTTCTGCTGTCCATACCTGCATGTTTTTCTGCAGAAGAGGAGAAGATGAATACAACATTTAGTTGGGGGAAAAAAAATGTGATTTGCGTATACACTTAATGGTGCATATCACTGATAAGGAAGTGAACAATGCAGACTGGCATGCTTATCTTCCTCTATAGAAACGTGAAATCCCTCACTGAATGAAATCACTTGAGATTCTTGCAGCTCATCGGGGTGTTGATCAGGTGCTGAAGTTGTCTAGGAGTGAGTCTTGAAAGTGAAACTCCAGTTTGTGAAGTTCTCTTTGTGGTTGAGCACATACAGAGGGATGTTTTCAAGTGCTCACATGCAAGATGTCTTGAAGACAATTGAAAATGTAAATTAAAAAGGAAGAGAAAGGAAGCTAAATCGAAAGAGGAAGAAAGGCAAAGTAAAATAAAGACCAACAAACTGAGGTATGAAAAGGTAGAAGAAAGAGCACATCAGAAATGGCAGGAGGAGGAGGACAAAGAGAAAAACTGGAGAGTGAAAAAAGAGAAAATAGAAGAGAAACACAGTGCATAAAGCAGACAGAGACAGACAAAGGAGAAACAGTAGCAGTCACCAGCTGGTTATATGATTTTTCACTAGAAACTAAATGGGACAGCCAAGCTCAGAGATGAAACACAAGATGCAAAAAATGCAACAGTTCTGAGAAAAACATTAATTCAGCTGCCTTTTACATAACTAGTATTTTCTACTTCTGGTGTTCAGGCACAGACCTGCATTATCCATAATACAGGGAACCTATTGGTGAGGAACAAAATATTAATGTTGTTAGTACCTATCTGGTATTTTGTGTTGCGGATGAATATCACCAAAATGCCTAAATGCCTGATGAATGCCAATTACATAATCAATCCTTTAATAATGAATTGGTTTTGCTAGCTTAAGTTGTACTTTAGGTATGGTTTTAGTGTGTAATGTTTGTCACATTTTTTTAATGGCTATTTTGTGAGGATAGCAACACATTACTGGGTTTGACATCCACTGGAGTCACAAAGGAATAGGAGATGGTTATAAACTTCCAGCAATTCTAACAGGAATCAGAGCAATCTCACTGCAAGTCTTCAGGAAATTGTAGTCATTAATTTAATGTAAGTCTGGGCATCTCTGAGTTGAATCCAGTGATGATGTCAGTGACTAAACTGTACTGCAGTTTGCTGGCACCTTTGGAAATAACTGTAATTAATATTTCTGATTAAAAAAAAAAAGAAATTACATTTTTACTTTCTTCCTGGGTAGCCAATACTTTAGTTTTGGCTTTTTGCACAACTCTTTAAAATACAAAATGTCATCCATTAGTGACAGTCAGTTCTTTGCCAGTGCATGCCTGTGGCTCATCCCTTGAACCTTGCAAAGGTGTTTTGTTGGCTAAAGAGATCATGGTTTTGAGGGATAGATGTGAACAAGCTGTGTCTCCACCACGTTTGGCATGGCTGAGTATCTCCGTAGAGAGGTCACGTAATAAAGAGGGTTTGGTTCTAATACCATTGCCTGGAAAGCAAAGACCTTTAGCTTCACAGAAGTCTGCAGGGTTGAGTGCATTTAGTAAGTCTGTTTTAGAGATCTGTTACATATGATACTGGTTTGTTGGCTTTTTTTTTTTTTTTTTTTGGGGGGGGGGGTGTTTTGGGTTTGTGTTTTAGTTTTTTTGTTTTCCTGTTTGTTTTTTTTTTTGTTTGTTTTTTGTTTTTTCAGGGCATTGTTTGGGTTTGTGAGTTTTTTTGGTTTGGTTTGGTTTTTGTTTGGGTTGGGTTGCTTTTTTTGTCTCAGTGGGTAAAGCTGAAGGGGTTTTCGCCCCTCTGTTCACAGCAGATTTTTTTTACTCTGCCAGGTGATTTTACAGACTGTAATACCAAGGCTGGTTGTGGATTCCCAGCAGAGCCTCAGCTGCAGGAGTTCCAAGGGACAGAAATAAAGCATTTACACTGCCAGCCTGCGTTGTTTGAAAACATCAACGTGACCATGAACACTCTGGACATTTAGAACTAAATATCAAATACAGCCAGAGGGAGTCATGTTTTCCTGAGGCACTGATGGGCTGTGAGACTCCTCTGTGCTGGACTTAAGTGCTTGCCTGCAGCTTTGGGTGTCTTGGCTGCCCTACAGCCAGCAAGTTAGCAGAATAAACAGGTATGCAGTTGACCCCATCTCCAGACCTGGAGCTACGTTAGTTCACACATGTCATTTACTGATGTAAGTCATCGGCCTGATATCAGCTGGTCTGCTTGTGCTAGTAGCCTCCCATGAGAACGTAGATATTTACTGGAGTGGCAGTCATGATCGTGAGAACTAAAGGGATTGAACGATACTTCAGGAAAAATCCAGTAGGTGGCATAAATAAACCGTGCATTTTTTTGCAGTTTCACTTGTGAAGTTCTCTTTCATTAATTCCTTATTTTAAAACTCCTTTAATTCACAGGAAAGCTGAAGCTTTGTCCCCTGGCTCTTAAAACAGTCCCACAGGCAAAATTCTGTATGGCAGAAGGAGAATTTTCTGGCAGTATATAATTGGGGTGTTTTTTGTTTGTTGGGTTTTGTTTGTTTTGTGTGTGTGTGTTTCAATATTAATGTTTTTACACTTTCTGTTTCCAGGTTATACCTCTAGAACTGCCTGCACCTCAACAAAAGGTGAGGGTTTCTTCTTAGGACAGATAGATTTGAACCCAAACCTTTCCTTGAAATGCCCAGTATTTGCAAGAATTTAAAGTCAGTCCTAGAGTTGCTGTCTCGGTCACTTCTCTGTGATAGTATAATAGTGTTGGCACCAGTGGCATTATTCAAGATCAGTAAAATCTGGTAAGCTACTGATGACTTTTGCTAAAAGGCCATTCAGTCAAGCTGGATCATTCAGACATAAGATTTCAAATGCTTTATTCTTCCTTACTAAAAATAATACGTCGAGGGCATGCTGCGTTTAGGTGTAAGAAGCCTCGATATGCTACTTCATTTTCTTCTCCTCAAACTCCTTTTTCCTTTGCTGTCTTGGGCTCAGGGGCTCATTTTCACTGAACAACTGAAGCGGTTTATAGTGCTGCCACCCCTTGGCTGCTGGTTTTCCTCAGTTAAGCGTTAGTAAAGGGGATCTACAGCCTCTCACCCGTGAGCTCAGGGGTGTCTTTCTCCGTTAGCCTCCAAAGATCCTGTGTCCAGCTCTGCTTGCAAAGACCACTGATTGTTTGCAAGGTGGATTAAAATGCGTATGCTCTTCGGCACCCTCAGTACATGTTCTCTTGATGCAAGTCCACACCCACTGGGAAGATAAAGTGTGACACTCCATCCACGGGGCCCTTCAAAGTGTGTGAGAAGGGATGTTGTCAGGGGTGGAGAAAAGCATCAGCTGTACACCAAACTAGAGAACAGGCTGCCACAGGAGGTAGCATGCCTTAACGACCATTGAAATGGGAGTTTCATTCACACTCTGCTTGCTGGTGTTCTCCTAACAAGAGAGCAAAGGGAGAATGGGAGCCTCCACATTAGTTAACTGTGAATGACCTGCAGCTGAGAAAAGCCACCAGAGATTTCTGCCTGAGCAAATGCAGGTAACACATTAGTCAGATACACTTGGCAAGATACCTGCTAG